CACCTGCGCTCAGACCTGGCCAGACGCACTCGGATACGCACCTGCACTCAGACCTGGCCAAATGCTCACTGATACACACCTGGTTTTAGACCTGGCCAGACGCTCGCAGATACACACCTGCGCTCAGACCTGGCTAGACACAGTCAGATACACACAAGTGCACAGACCTAGTACCAGATACGCACCTGCACCCAGACCTGGCCAGACGCTCACACCTACGCACCTGTGCTCAGACCTGGCCAGATGCACATAGACAAGCGCCAGCCCTCAGCTCTGGCTAGACGCACATGCATACAAACAAGTGCACGGACCTGGTCAGACGCACTCAGATAAGCACCAGCGCTCAGACGTGGCAGGACACACTAAGATATGCATCTGCACCCAGACCTGACCAGACGCACATGCATTCACATACACACCGAAGCTCAGACCTGGCCAGACGCACTCAGATGCAGACCTACACTCAGACCTTGCTGGATGCACTCAGATGCACACTGGTACTCACCCCAATACAGCTGCTCTCCTCCTGTGGCCTCATTCCCGCCCGCAGCAGTGACACTGGGAGGGAGCAGGACAGGGGCAGAGCCGAGTGTGGGACGGTCTCTCTCTAGTCAGGGCTTAGAGTTACTGTTGCCATGGAGAGAGTGTCCAAACTGCAGTTTGCTCTGTCACAGTATTTATTAAACAGGACGCATCACAGATCCGTGTACTGAATATCAAATAGGAGTGGATCAAATTAGTAATTTTATTAGATTTTATTAAATGTTTTATTGACCTTTTTAATAAAATTATTCACTCTTTGCCCTCAAATTATTTTTGTGGTTATCATTATAATTATTTGATCTTGCTGATCTCTCGTCACGTGAGAGGGGCGCGACTTCGTTTCCTGGTCACGTGGAGGAGCTCCGCTCTCTGACGTGGGGCGCGAGTTAGACACGCTCAACTTAAGTTTACAGGGTTGCGCTGTGGGCGGACGTGGTCACTCCGGCCGAATCGACATGTCTGGACACGGACACGGTCACGGGCCCGGCTGCGGGTGCGAGGCCGACCATGAGCCTGCGGAGAGGGGTTTGGAGTTCGGGCTGTACCGGCGCATCGACCTGCAGAAGCTGCAGTGCCTGAACGAGAGCCGGGAGGGAGACGGCAGGCTCGTCTTCAAGCCCTGGGAGGAGCGCGCGGACCGCGAGAAGGTGTGTGGTCGGTACCGGCTGGACCTGCGGGCGGGCTGCAGGCGCAGCCGGTCCGGGAGACCGGGGCAACAGAGCAACCGCGCCGTGGCGGCCGCCATCTTGGCTCCACCTTCGGTAGCCTGCGTCAGTAAGACCGTTAGCAGTGTTTTCCAAGCAAGATCGGGTCGTCTTCACGAAATATGTTTAGAAGTACCCGTGTAAGAGCTTCTGAGACCAAATACGGCGGATAATGAGAGGAATACAGACAGAGGTTAAAGAGTTAATTAAATCTAAATTAGTTTTTATTAATCTTAGTCCTTCATCCTTGGTCTTCCTCCTTCTTTCTGTCCTTGTCTTCCTCAGTTTGTAGAGAGCGACACTGATGAGGAGCTTCTCTTCAATA